TTATGACTTAAAATTTGCTTCATCCCCATTTATCTTCTCTATTTTGCAAATCAAATTAATCTCTGCTTTTATGGTATTTGATTCTAGTCTAGTCTAATATTTGATTCCTTTTTCTTCAAGCTTTAGTATTGAAACCTAAAGTTGGGGGAAAAAATTAGTAATAAGGTTAAATTCAAAGAGAACTGCCATCAAATGTAAATTTTCTATAGTACTGGTATTTGAAATGGCTACAGTGCTGCATTTAGTGTGTCTTTTAACTGTTTTAGCATTATTATTTGCATTTGTAATGGGTGCTAATGTGGTGGTCTTGATGGTAAATCTTTGACGCTCTGGGTTTCACTGTGAGTTGCTTGACAGTGAAACAGCATAGACACTTTCTCCCGGTATATATTGATACACTATGAGATTCAGTCAAACTAAGTGGAAATGACAAGTTCCTCCTGCAAAATGATATGGGATTTCTGTCGGAGTGACAGTCTCACTTATCTTGCAGAAAAGTTGGTAGTTATTTCTTTACACGCTGACCACAGTGACACTGCACTCACACCCAGAGGAGACCTTCCATCTGCTTCTTGTTTATAGAAGCTCCACTTTGGTTCGCAGTCAAGTCCCCAAATGGGAGCCACATGGTAGATTTGAAATCCTTGTGTGCTAGTTTTTCGATTGAATTAGTCTGTTTGCTCACTTTAATGAATAAGTGCTTTACTCTTTAAAAAGTGTTGATAAGAGTTGCCTCAAGCTGTCTGGTGGAAAACTGCCATCAGAGTTTTCTCCTGTGATCCTCCTCGGTGTGTAAATAATAATGTTTCTTTTTCCAGTGTAATTGTTTCCCTTATTCATCAGAAATCATTGAAGGCCGTTATTCCTCCGACTTCCTTTGTGATAACAGTGCAACCCAAGCTTTCAAATGTGAATGACTCCTGTGGATCCTGTGTGCAAATGTTATTGGCAGAGGGAGAAGGTAGACTATGTTTAGCTTAGGGTATGGTTTGTGGTGTCTAGAGAGGAAGGGGGTATTTTAGTAGGCAGATAGACAGGCTTATTGTAAACTTTGGTATTAGGGTGGTGGGTTTCTATTTCCACAAAAATATCAAGCAGCACTCTTTTTAGTAAAGATAATAATAAGAAATGTTTCTTGAATGCCAAATCAGCATATTAGAATGATTTCAGAAGGATTGTGTGACACCGAAGACTGGAGTAATGATACTGAAAATTCAGCTTTGTCGTCACAGGAATACATTTCATTTTAAAATCTATTACAATAAATAGAAGACAGTTATTATAAATTGTTATAATATTTGTCAATATTAATGTTTTTAATGTATTTTTAATCAACTAGGCCTAAATGCAGCCTTGGTAAGAGACTTTTTCATTAAAAAAACCTTACCAACCCCAAACGTTTGAACCGTATCAGCAGAGATGCCGGGTTCAGACTACACAATATTTTTGTCGGTCACGATAGTAACTGTGTCAGATTACACGATTTTGACTCCTAAAATCTTGTCATGTCGTGGACAAGAAACATGCCAGACTACACATTGCTTCTTGACCATTCATCGCGTGCCGTCTTTAACAATGCGCGTGATGTCATCGAGAAGGCGGAACTAGCGACTGACTTCCGAAGACAAGAGTGTAAACATTGCTGAAGCACTTACGCTATAGTTTGCCAGCATTTTTCTTTCTTTGTTCTGTCGTGGTAGTCCCTCGATAACACATCATACAGGCAGGAGTACTGTTGCCACAGCTCCACGAACCTTTCCTCCATCTCATAATTCCACCTAGCAGCACCATCATCTCTCTTTCGTTTTGCCATGTTTGAAACCTGTGTATGAAAGAGCTTCTGTGCTGCTATTGGTAAACGTCACCAATGTGACAGAACTCGTCGTGGACGATGGAAAAAAAATTAAACATGCTAGTCTTTCTGTCGTGATGTCGTGAAGCATCGCAGACGCAGAATCGGTTGTCGTCCACTATGACACACTACACGTGCTGAAACGATGGAATCTTGCGTCCCGACGCCCATTGTCATTTACGAATCCCCACGACACCCTACGTCAAGCAAATCGTGGAAAAATCGGGCTAAAATTGTGTAGTCTGAACCGTGCATTATTTGTTAAGAAAACCAGTTGTTTTTTGTTTCTGTTGTGGTTTATTAATAGCTGTTTTACAGAACCTCTCTCTCTGTCTCTTACAGAATAACTTTGGTTCAATAGTTTAGTACTGAATGTTCTGAGTTCACTTTGGCATGTTTCCCTTACGGTATCATTTCACAATAAGTGACCATTCACACAGGAGATATTTGCACTTAAAACATGTGACGCAGGGCAGCAGAATAAAAAAACTGCAAAGTCTAGAGACGCATTTTGTAAAAGTTCTCTTAACTTGAATGCTGTGTTTTTTAGAGCGACTTCAAGGCGCTGCAAAATACGCAAGTTGCGAGTGCAACAGTCAAAGATGTCTGTCTAGCGCAACTAGTGGAAAAACAGTGCAGTGGAATGCAAAAACTGTGTGAATGGCTCAAAGTAATCTGCAATCCACAGTGTGTTAACCAGCTCCACTTTACCAGTCATGCTTTTCAGCAGTCTTTTGTTTTTTTGTGTGTGGTATTTAGTGTTTATTTTAATCAGATTCCCTTCTAGATCTTGTAGTTTGTTCCTCCGTATAGTGCCTGTGGTAGGGCTTGATGAAGTATGTATGAAATGAAAAGATGGGAGAGTTTGAAGTTGCTGCCAAGGCTGGCACGAGTCTTTAGTGCAGAATGTGAAGACAGAGGGAGAGTAGATTGCCTTCAGCTCCATACTGGTTAAATCAATGCTGGGTCAACTGTCTTGTCTAGTAAAGAGATGTGTGGTTGCTGACGAGCTCGAATGGAGAGAAACGTCTTTGTTTTAAGCAACAGGCTGCAGTTTCATCATGTGTCTTTCTCATTAAGGATGGGGACACTAGTGTTTTAGTAATGTGTTGAATGGTTTATTCTTATAATGACGAAGTCCCTTTGACTGGCTCAGTGTTGATGTATCTTTATTTTGTATGTAAGTTTGATAGCTTGTTAAAGAATTTGCAACCGATAGAGGGAAAAAAGTTGACCTCTTTGAAGTTCATAAATTCTAAGCTTGGTCAAGAATGAAAATGAAGCGCAAGCTTATTGATGAAAGCCAGCTGTGTCCTGCTGCACATGATCAGGAAGATAGTAGCTAATATTTTAGAAAAGATGAGCAAAACAATATAAAACAAACTGCATTGCTAGTAGTGAATTGTTTGAATGTGCCTCTGTGCCTGACTCAACAGTGCAAGGTTTTCTCAGTGGAGGGATCAGTGCAGTCTGTGTCTGGTTACAGTATTCAGTTTCATTCAGTCTTAGTAACCTCTGTCAGTTCCTCTCCTCCATGGCTATTTTGAGAGGTGCCTTATGTCACATCAAATCCACATCTAAAATTTGACAGCACTGCATGGCTTCCCACTCACTGAGCAGGTTGTATAATATTTGTTGCTATTTCGAAATGTTCAGTAAACCCTTCAGCTTCATTGACTGACCGTTTAAGGACAGACTAGGTCTATGTGGATTAACTAGCTATAAGTAGGCAGGGTGTCATAGCTTAACTAAGAGTGTGTGCTGCTTTTTTGGGGTGTCTTTAAAATGTTAGTCTCCCATAACCAAACTTCAATATTGGCAAAAAGTCTGATAATTGTTTTCATGTTTGGGCAATGTTTAAATTTTTTTTACTATTTTAGCTAAATAAATTAAAAAGTAAAACACTAGTTAAATCTCTATCAATCTTTTGAAATACACTACCATTCAAAGTTTGGGGTTTTGATTATTTTTGCACTCAAGACCAACCCCAAACTTTGATCGGTAGTTCAAGTATCTTAGAAGTTTCTTATGCACATCTAGGCTGCATTTATTTGATCTAAAATACGAAATAACAGTCATATTGTGAAATAGGCTATTGTTACAATTTAAAATAACCGTTTTCTATTTTAATATACTGTAAAGAGTAATTTATTCCTGTGATGGCAAAACATGATTTTTCAGCATCATTACCCCAGTCTTCGGTGTCACACAATCCTTCAGAAATAATTATAATATGCTGATTTGGCATTCAAGAAACATTTCTTATTATTATCACTGTTGAAAACAGTTGTGCTGCTAATATTCGTGGAAACTGTGATGCATTTTTTCAAGGATTCTTTGAGTAGAACAAAATAACAGCATTCATTTGAAATAGATTTTTTTTTCATTAAAATACTTCATTGTCACACTTGATCAATTTAATGTTACACCCTAAAATTTTGAACAAAAGTGTTTAATGTAGACTAAACTTTTAACTGGTATGTTTCAAAGATCTTTGCACCCCATCTATCAGAAGTAGCGTGAAAATCCAGCCAGTCTGATTACTGCTGGCCAGATCTTAAAGTGGTTACCGTTTTTGTGCATAGTATGCATCAGAATGTCAGAGTGGGCTGAAAGAACAAAGGGGAAATAAAAGGAAGAGTGAATTCAACCACTCTTTATGTCTGGCTTAAGGCTGTCACAATCCCATCATCTTTAAGCACCATATGTGAACATGACAGTGTATATTTAACCTAAGAATGCTTGAGGGGGATTGTGTACATGTGAGAGAGGGATATAGGGCCAAACATGCTGACAGTAGAAAGGCATCTGCAGGCAATACTCTGGAAAATATCACTCAGTTCACTCAATGATCTGTGCGTGTGAGTGAGCGTGGTTGTGCTTCTTGAGACCTGTCATTGTAATTTGATCATTGGATTACTGATATGTTGGTTGCCATGGCGTCCTCACGCATGATTGGGTTACCATGCGCCTGCCCTCTATGCTAGAAAATACAGTAGCACTTTTATTTTTAAGTGTGTATGTGTGATTGTATTCATTTCCATCAGATCCAATCTGTCATGGTTGGTATTGATTAATAGCATCACAGTTTTCAAAACGCGTCTCTTTTCAAAGTATGTGCTAACAATCTCGTTCTCTTTTTTTGCAGTTGTGCAGACACAGCAAGAGATGTAGATCCACTTACAGACTGTCTTCTGACTAACGCACGGACAGATTGCGCCATGACGGAACGGGATGGCCGCTGTGATTTTTCCATCGCCCCGGGGCAGGTATATATTGAGGTGGAGTACGATTATGAGTACAAGGCGAAAGATAGACTCATCTCCATACGGCAGGGCGAATGCTACATGTTGGTTCGCAAAACCAATGAGGACTGGTGGCAAGTTCGTCGGGAGGAGGGCACCAAGGCGTTTTATGTCCCCGCTCAGTACGTCCGAGAGGTGCGGCGCGCCCTTATGCCACCACCCAAACCTCGCGCAAAGCCCCCCAACGTTCTTGAAATCGGCCAGTGCCGATCGTCGAACGAAAATCTCAACCAACGCGCTCCTACGGAAAGGTCCAGCTTCGGCAGGCCATCTCCCTCGACGACGCCTTCCCCGTTACCAGGTCAACAGACCTCGCCTTTGTTGTTGCGGGACACCAATCAGAACTCGGGGATGAAGAGCGTTGTTGCCGAGCTCACTCTGCTTAACAACAACAACCATCATAACTATCACCATGGCAACCCCACACTTCCAGAAGGACGAGCGGAATCCCCTCCACGAGAGCATGGTTGCCAGGGGAAACTCCCAGGCAGTTTGTCGGTGGACACGGACGGAAGCGTGTCACAAGCAGATGGGTTGGAGAAAATGAGAAATGACTCAGAATCTGGAGATGAGCTCAGCAGCAGCTCTACCGAACACATACAGGTAAGAATGAGTGATGTTCGCCCTCCTCCTCCTTCCTCTCCCACGCTGTCGTTCTCTCTCTCCCTCCCAAATGTACTCATGTTCTCCCTTTATCTCTTTCAATGTCATCTTCAGCTTTAATTCTTTCACTTATCTTTGCCAGATATGCTCTCATCTCCTTTTCATCCTTTGACTGTCATTATCTATTTCTGTAACACACTGTTCTGACAATTACTACGAGACTAATCTAACATATCCTCCTCACACCTTTCCCTTTATTCCTCGGGTTTGCCTCTGACATTTGCAGTGGCGCGTCCTCTTTTCTGTCAGGTTAAATTGGATTCATCAGTGTCTTCCTCTCCTCTCGCATCCCTTTCTTTCTGCTGCATAACACTTGTTCAGCAGGAGATGTAGTTTGTCCTCTGCAATGGAGGTGGAAATTGTGGCCACTTCACAGGGTTTGATTTAGACAATAAGAGACTTAATTGAAATCACAAAATACACTTGTTGTGCTTTTATAAAGTAATTTCTGAATTTTAAAAAAGCTGCTTGCATGTACAATTTCTTTGCATTGTGCATTTTTTACATTTTATTTTATATTATTTATATTTATTTATATTATTATTTATATATTGTAAAATATATTATTTTTGTAAAAAATATATTATTTTATTTGAAATAATTATATTGTTATATAATTGTATTTATTAAATTATATGATTGTTTAATATTATTGTTAAAACTAATTTCATATATATATATATATACAGGTGCATCTCAATAAATTAGAATGTCGTGGAAAAGTTCATTTATTTCAGTAATTCAACTAAAATTGTGAAACTCTGTATACACTGTATATATAGAGGACAGTTAATAATTGTAATTGCATTTATTTAGATAAAACTTTATATTTGTATTTATTAATTGTTTTATATTAACAGTTAATAAATATTGTGTTATGTTTAATTCTATATAAATATTTAAATATAAATTGTAATATTAATAGTTTAGTTGCCCTCTCTGATTCGCTGTTCTAGTAAATTAAAAATTAAAGAAATTAAAGCTACATTTTTTTGTGCAATGTGCATGTTAAACAGAGTTATTTTGAGCAAAGTGAAACGTGAAATACATGCGTTATGTTCAATCAACCACTGTCAGTTTTGGCCGACCACAGTAGTTTTGGAGTGATTGAGCTTGCTTTTTAAGTGTCCCAGAGTGCATCTTGTGGAATTGGGTGGTTAGTCTTTGTTACTACCCTCCTCCCCCATTTCTCTCTTATCTTTCTCTCTTAAAAGAGGGTGCTGCTGGGGAACAAAGGGGATTGTGGGAGAATAGAAAGTAGGTCGTATCTGGCTAGATCATGTTGTTGCCCCCATTTTGTGTTTGTATATGTGTGAAAGAGATGGAAAGATGCACATTGAGAAGTTTGGGTCCAATGGGTTGTATATGCATCAGATCATCATTGTGAGCAATAAGGACAATAAGTATGCTCATCTGTGTGAGCTATAAACCTGTAGCTTGTCATGTATATTGAGCTGATCTTCTGGGTTGGCACATTGGGTGAATCTTTAATTACTGGTCTTGGTCAACAACATCAGTAAATGAGAATAACCATGATGCTCCTCAAAGTCAGGTTCCAGACAGTGGCTTAATCATGCACACGCATATATGCGCTTAAAAGGATATACAGTACGCTGGGCTTTTGAGGGATTTGTCCATGTCAGGCTTTGTCCATCAGGGTCAGTTGATAATACTAAATCATGTGATTACTTAATCAGCCGTTCAACAACTATCGCTCATAGACAAAGAACATTTGCCCTCCAGATCTCATTCATGACATCTGCTATGTGTGATGTTTGGTTTAAAGCAGGATTTCACCCAAAAATGTCAACTTTGTCATTGATTACTGAGCCTCATGTGGTCCCAAACCCTTAAAAGCACCCTTGTGAAGCCATAAAATAGCTTTTTATTTTATTTTATGTAATTATTTGCTGAAAATTGCCCCTTCACCTATTGTCCCCTCTGCCTTTCTTTTTTTTCTGCCTCTCAGCTAATAATAATAAAAAATAATGTTTTAAATGTATTGGAATATTTTATGGATTTTTATGTATTTGGCATTTAACAGCACTGTGTGGCTTAATTTTATAGGGGAAAAAAAGTGTGAACATTCTTCAAAACATATTTTGTGTTCCTTCAAGTAAAAAGGTGTTATTTTAGTATTATCAATATGTTATTATAGTATTTATTCATATTTTCAAGTTTCATTTTAACTTTGTCATTGTTATGCTTATGCTTGTCATTTTTTATTAATCTTTTTTTTGTTATATTTCTCTAGAGCTTTAATTTATTTTTCAGTTTGAACAAATTTTAGTACTTCAACTTTATTTCATTTCATTTAGTTTTCAATGCAACATTTCTGTTTTTATGGTTAATTTTTTCATCTAATGTTTTTATTTTATTTTGTTCATCTTTATTATTATTCTTTATTCCAATATTCGTGTATTTTTAATAGTTTTAGTTAACAATAACAACACTGGAATAAAAATACGGGCTTGGATGGCTGAGTAAATTATGAATTTTCAATTTAGGGGAGTTATTCATAGAATTACTTTTAGCCCAAAGTCATATTCTCTGCTTGCATCCCTCCTGACGTCTATCCCCCCTCGCCACATAAACGGATAGCTCCTGCGCTCTTAAAGCATTGAGGTCCAAATCTGTTTCCCTCAATACTCCACCAGTGTGGCCTACAGAGGACGGATTTAGGACCCCAATTTCTCGCCTTTTTCTTTGCTTCTTCAACTTTATCTTCACCCCCTGAAGCAGATTTGCACACACACAGACACACACATTGCCACTCTCGCTCTCTTCTCCCCCTCCACACTTTCACTTTTATGGACTTTTGTCTGTTAGAAGTGTTCAAATAACTTGAAATAATAAGCCATCAGAAGACACACATGAACGCTTGACCAGGGAATTAGTAGCATGTCACCTCTCTAATAAAAGATTATGAATGGCTTTTATAACAGAGCAGGGGCTGGCAGGCAGCCGCACAAAATTAAATTCAGCCCCCTCAGTTGGGTGTTTTCCTTTGTATGAACAGTTATTGTCTGCAGTCAAGATTATACTTCAGCTTTGTGTTTCCGGCTGTTTCGGGGTGTTTTGTACGCATGTACATACATTATTTTCACCAGAATATCATATTGATTCATTGCCAGTTTTGTTAAGCCCATGTGATAAGCCGATATAAGTCTTGGAAGTATATGTGTGTTCGGATTCACACTAATGGAACCTTATTGAAAAGTGTTACCTTAATATTAAATATACAATAACAACACTGGAATAAAAATACGGGCTTGGATGGCTGAGTAAATTATGAATTTTCAATTTAGGGGAGTTATTCATAGAATTACTTTTAGCCCAAAGTCATATTCTCTGCTTGCATCCCTCCTGACGTCTATCCCCCCTCGCCACATAAACGGATAGCTCCTGCGCTCTTAAAGCATTGAGGTCCAAATCTGTTTCCCTCAATACTCCACCAGTGTGGCCTACAGAGGACGGATTTAGGACCCCAATTTCTCGCCTTTTTCTTTGCTTCTTCAACTTTATCTTCACCCCCTGAAGCAGATTTGCACACACACAGACACACACATTGCCACTCTCGCTCTCTTCTCCCCCTCCACACTTTCACTTTTATGGACTTTTGTCTGTTAGAAGTGTTCAAATAACTTGAAATAATAAGCCATCAGAAGACACACATGAACGCTTGACCAGGGAATTAGTAGCATGTCACCTCTCTAATAAAAGATTATGAATGGCTTTTATAACAGAGCAGGGGCTGGCAGGCAGCCGCACAAAATTAAATTCAGCCCCCTCAGTTGGGTGTTTTCCTTTGTATGAACAGTTATTGTCTGCAGTCAAGATTATACTTCAGCTTTGTGTTTCCGGCTGTTTCGGGGTGTTTTGTACGCATGTACATACATTATTTTCACCAGAATATCATATTGATTCATTGCCAGTTTTGTTAAGCCCATGTGATAAGCCGATATAAGTCTTGGAAGTATATGTGTGTTCGGATTCACACTAATGGAACCTTATTGAACTTAATATTCTTAATATTAAATATCAATATATTATTTTTATTCACTTCTATGTAACAGAATCAGATATAAGTTGTTGTTGTTGTTGTTTTTTGACTAATTATCCAAATAATGCATAGTCCTACAAAGCTATTATTATCAGAGCATATGAGCAGAGCATAGCGTCACTGAAGGTAGCAACATCATTTTAGCAGCATTGCCCAGTACAGCTGTACTAGCCTACACCATGTTACAGCACAGTAGTGCTACTGCAAACCGGAACAAGTAGGCCTATACAGTATAGGCCAGTGGTTCCTTTCCTCCATTGACAGTAAATGAGGCCTGAGCATTCCTGTCATTCCTGTCCCAGCACACACACACACACACAGGGTTCAGCTGGATAACCCAATAAAGACCCACCGATCCTGATGGGCGGAAAACAGCACAGCTCACTCTAATCTAATATTTACTCAAGTATCAAAGATCTCTCGCTCTCTCTCCTGTCGCTTGTTGATCCTGTCTGCCTGTCTCTTTTTTTCCCCCAAATAAGGACTTTAGACTGAAAGATGGCAGTGTACATCAAATCGATGTGTGTTTGGGGTGTTGTGTTTGTGTTGGTACCCTTACGCTGTCAGAGCATCTCTGTCTCTCACTCATTCTGTCTCTCTGCTGTCGATGAGCACAGCTGACATGTTGTTGGGTCAGAATGTGTCCTGAGGGTAAGGTAAGTTTAGCTTCACACACACACATCTGCTAGACTTCTGTTGTTTTTATATGAAGATAATTAGAATTTCCTAACCCTAAACCTACAAGAAAACTTTTAATAATTATTGAATGAATCAAGTTTTCCCTCGAGGGCATGATCAAATGTTCCAAAAGAGAAGTTTAATGAGATTTATATCACTTTCGGTGACAATTTTGTACCCAGACTATAGCCAATATGTA